TGCGCTGCCTATCTGATTCCGAAGAGATGTCAGTCCCCCCTGATGGCTCGCCATTGACGTTTCCCCAGTTTTCCCGACGACGACTTCCGCTTCGCCACTGATCGTCGTCGCTCTCCAACCGGCTATTGTTCGGATCTCTTCGGTTCCGTTCGTCGGGTGTTCGAGGGAGAGAAGTAGCTTCGTAGTCCATCGGCGCTCGAGCTAGTTCGGCGTTTCTGTTAGGATCGGGCTGCCATCCTTCGTTCTTTATTTGCTGCTGTAGTTGACTATGGTTCCAGAGGTTGTTCAAGACCTGTAACAAAAAGATAACTGGAATATCAAGCTGGTTGCCTCTTGTCATATTTTTTTATAAAACATTTAAGATAGTGTGCGCGCGCCCTCGTTGGTCGATAGGTTTGTTTAGATGAGAGTTTATTATATCGCTGTGTCTCACAAGGACTGGGAACTACCGAATTCACGAATTTNAGGTAGTGATCAGAGCGGGACTCGAACCCGGGACCGCTGGATTGCGAGTCCGACGCACTGACCACTCGGCTACGCTGCCTCCAGATACCGACCCTTGTAAATACCGACCGTAATTTTCCTGTGGATTGCCACAGGAAAACGCCAAGATCTGTGTACTATGAAGATACTATCTTAATGACTATGTCAACATATAAGCTTTTAAGGAATTGAGTTATTTATTTGATTTCAGTGCGTAGAGTAGAAATGAAGGAATGGGAAAACCTGTATCTGCGATACCAAAATGGCCAAGTCTACGACCCATTCCTAGACTAAAGCAGCTCATTGATCACACCGCAATTTGGCGAGGTAGAGGCCAATATAGCTTTTAGAAAGGGAAGTCACTCTTATCTCAAAATACAAACAAGGAAATGAGGTAGTGAGCGAAGATCAGCTCTCTTTATTTTCCTCTCCTTTCCTCGCTGCCCTCGTCCGATAGCCTGAAGTAAATTGTTGGAGTGCTCTCCTTCTGTCGTCTTCAAGTATTGTTTATGACCAACAAGAAGTCACACAAGTCAGTAGTTTAAAATGTCAACAACTTCGACTGTGAAATTGTTACGTAACTCTTGGGTTACCTCCGTTAGGTATTAGATACACTCTATCTTAGCTAAATACATCAAAACTACGCACCTTCCACGAGCAAGCCGTCAAGTTGTGCAAAGCCCCGGCTGATCCCTCTAACGTTTCAGTGTTCTTGNCCTTTCCTCGTTGCCCGCGTCCGATAGCCTGAAGTAAATTGTTGGAGTGCTCTCCTTCTGTATATTTTCACGATGACAATCTACATAAAACGTAACTCAATCAGTCCTAAATAAGCTTTGCTACTCGTCTTCAGGTATTGTTTATGAGCAACAAGAAGTCACACAAGTCAGCAGTTTAAAATGTCGACAACTTCGACTGTGAAATTGTTACGTAACTCTTGGGTTACCCCCCCGTTAGGTATTAGATACACTGTATCTTAGCTGAATACATCAAAACTACGCACCTTCCACGAGCAAGCCGTCAAGTTGTGCAAAGCCCCGGCCGATCCCTCTAACGTTTCAGTGTTCTTGGCTTTACGTAAAAGCACATAATACTGTTGAACTGTCTGCGCTTGCCAAAGTAGTTCCACTCCTTGAGGAGGGCCCTTCGGCCGGTCCATGGGCCGTTTATCGTTAGGGACCTTTTTCTTCTTCCTGCCACCGCACCCTGCGAAACAGCCCTGGCTCTGTTGTTCCTTGACAGCTGCTGGATCCACATCCACATCAGCGTCGTCATAACGGTCCCTGTCAATCTCGCTTTCAAGCCGGTATGACAGGTTTCTTAACGTGCACACACAATGTTCAAGACACTGGGGAAAGAAAAAGGTGAAAGAAAAATATTTAACAATTTATGATTCTTCCTTCAGTGCTCAGTTAACAGTTTTGATTCCCTGGAATCTCAATGTTTCCATCGGTTCTGTCTCAGGAAACAGAGAGATTCTCTGGAAGAAAACTAGGTGTTTTTCAAAGTGATTTGTTCCCCTGAACAGCAAAGCCATTAGAAGACCCAATGTGAATACGGCGGTCGCAACTTCGGTCATAATTCGCGATAGCAGCGCACTGTTTCTCTCTGATGCCATAGATTTTACAATGTTGCCGGCTCAAGGACTTCAGCGGGATAGTGTTTCACTGTTAGACGTCATGCGACCTCGAAGTAGCCACTGAGAGCACGCGCTATTAGGGGAGTAAATTTTCCTTCTTTCTATCGATATATTAGGAACACCAGTGGACGTTTGGGAGAACGAGAAATGTTGTGGCAATACGAGCCGGTAGGCGAGATTTCCCACAGCTTTTTCGAGCTCTCTCAAATCTTCACGAGTTTTCTATTTAACAATTAGATTATGAGCTCGAGATTTCTATAGCGTGACAGTTGACGATTACGCATAGAAATCGAGAGCGAATAATCTAATTGTATAAGTATAAATCTACTAGTCGTTCAAAACTTCATCTAAATCCTCTTCACATACACTTCGAAAACGCCAAGAAGCGGCCGTCATTTTGTTAACAAGGGCACACTGCTACGCTACGGCTCACTATCCATTACAGAATAGATAGTGAGTAGCTTAGCCAATCAGAGAGCTACATTCGTAATAGAACGCAAGTAGATTTATACTAATAAGAAATTAGATTATGAGCTCGAGGTTTTTATCGAGTGATAATTGATGAGGGCGCGTCAACTATCACGCATAGAAATTGAGATCGAATAATCTAATTGTTTAAGTAAAATTCAAATACGATTTTTAAAAGAAGGCTTCTTTTTTATTTTTCCTCCAAAAATAATACGGCAGTATGCCAAAAAAAAAAAAGAGGTAACAAAACTTAACTGTTAGGTACACTCACGATTCGGCTATTTATAATTGGGTGACAGAGAAAATAGGCTTGATATAGATACAACTCTAGTTGGACTCCTGATAGGGTTATACATGTATTTGAGACAAACGAGCTGTCTGCAATCGATAGGCTGCTTAAGTGAAGCTTTTCAATCATTCAGCTTACCCTGTTGTCGTAATGCTCGTTCTTGACACCAACTCTAGTAATCCACACCAGACAGTCGACCAAGTCTTTCTCGTCCCTGAGCTCCTGCCGGGCCCTGGTACCGGCTGAAGACAGGTTGCGCACGAGTCTGGTGGCATGGACGAGTACCGCTGCCCAGGGTTCGGTTCTGACTGGCGGCTGGCCTCGAGCCGCTACAGCTGTCCACTCGGAGTAAGGTATGATGATAATAATGACGATGATGTGGAGACATACGAGAAGAATTCTTAAACGAAGCGACTGAAAAAGAAAGCACACAAAATTAACAGACCTGTAATACGCGGTCAGCTTTGAGAAACGTATATTAATAGGCGAACGTTTTCTTCAGGTTCACGAAAAAAAAAATATCTGCCACTGATGAGAGCCAGAGAGAGACTAAGACGAAAAAAATCGGCCACTGTTGAGAGAAAAAGTTAACATAAAAGAGGACTCGGTTAACGTAGAATATGTATCTGGACACAGGTCATCCGCAGATCTTTCAGACTTTCTTTATTGCAGAGGCCCACATCTTCCATGCCTTAACAACAGTCTCTGTAGCATTTACCCCTCCCTACCCCCCTGGATGGGATGCTAGTCCATCGCAGATTACCCGCAGCATTTTACAAATTTCTATTACAAGACGAGAAACTTGTCTCAGAGGAATTCCGTGTGACCGCTCAATTCAGAGTCCAAGGGCCACAGAATCTCCCTTTCCTAATTCACCGTCAGGTAACAAGGACAAACATATAAATAAAACAGACTATCTCACCTCAACAGACGATAAATTGCATAAAACGCCCAAAATTGCTTCTCTGTACTAGAAGGAAAAGAGATAAGAGAAGAACGTAAATACATGGTTGTTGAAAAAAGTACTGACAAGTATCCGATAACTGTTCTTACCTCTGTCTTCTCGGTTTCCTGTAAGATTTCAATCAAGGCTTCAATTCCACCGCAATCAGCGATAGCCACCTGTTAAAATTAACAGAGTTTCAAACAAAGTGAATGGATTTTTATACATCCAAATGTTGAAAGCCACGGCTTGATGTTTGTTCAAAAGCCGACTTCTTCGTGGACTAAGTTTCGAGCTCGAAAATGGTCGGCTTATATTTGGAAGGCACTTTGCGTCTGGGCACAAAAGAATGAACATATAAACATGTCATAATTTTACGGCATGTTAATACGAATTAAAAAGGTACAAAAAAGAGTGGATGTCTTACTCTGTTGGCGTCGTGTCTCATGCTGAAAGAGAGATTTCTCAGAAGACAGATGGCAGCATATCTGACACGCCATTCTGAATGTCTCAACAGCCTTACGATAACTGGAATGCCACCGAGCTCTCTGTGAAATAAACACAACAAAAAGAAACAACAATTTTTGAGAAGTCCAAACAGTTTCAAGACAAAAGACAACAGTTTTCCGCCAGGCCGAGGGATCAGTGGGAAATCACGGTTACAAGATTTAATCTAATTGCAAACTAAGAGGTATTTATCTTTTTTAACATGTTATTTGTATTTCTTGAATAAAGTATTGCGATTGTGACCTGGCCAAGTGTGTCTTCAAACAGATCGAGAAATTGTTTGCAGTTGATTTTTTCAATTGATTGGCACCGAAGCTGTCTAAACGCAAATGCTTTTAGGTTCCGATCAAACTGCAATGTACTGAGTTGGGTGTAATCTTTGAGAGAGTAAATATTGGCTCTGGTTTATTCTGCGGAATCGTCGCTTTGTTTTGTTTGTCTCTTTTTCCTGGGAATCTTGAGTTAATTCGAAGAACGCACCTATAAAATTCCCAAAACCAATCATGGATGGATGAAATAAATGGTAGATATTGCATTCTCCACTAAATACCTGACTTTGTCCTTGACAGATTCCTTACTGTAACATAAATGTTGCAAGTATCTGGCAGCGTTGATAATCTTTAGTTCATCTCCAGACTGCATGAAATCAATAAGATCTGGAATATCCGGTTCTTGACCAACTAAAAGGAACATAATCAGATGATGGGATTGAAAAAATGAAACAAAAACAAAAACAGTAAAAATTACATCAGTGTTCATATATTATGGCAAGTGGACGCTAAACTCATAAATAGAGAATTTAAGATTCGACGATTGTGACAAGGCTGTGGTGTAAGAAAAATTACGGAACCCAAACGTTCCTAACCATGAAATCCTGGGTGCCCAGTGCTCGCGCTTATATGAAAAAAAGTGAGTTTTCCAGTCGCCCGAAGACAAAAGTCAGTCGCCTGTGGCACTCGGGCTATTCTAGAGCACAGTCCTGATTGTGACTACGCATTTTGCTCGGAGAGGCATGGAACCTATTATTGTGCGTTTGCTTCTCCTGACGTCATTCAGCAACGGTGAGAAGTAAGACCCAGGAAGTTTACGTCAGTTTTACGTAGTGCTCAATACGGATTGTATTTTCTGTTTTTCCATGCACCTCAGTATTGTAGACTTGAATATCAATTTAAGGAAGCATGCAAGTTCATTATGAACATAACCAGAAACTACTTTGTCCGCTAAATTTTGCCAGTAGCTTTACGGGTTCCAGATTGTCACGAAAAGAGCTGGATCTAGCAAGCAGTACCATTCCCGCCAAACCTTTCGTACTCGACCCAGTGCTAATCGTCCAGCCGTAAACCAATAGTCTTCAGTATTAAATTCCCTAATGAGTCAATCTCTGCGCGTGCACAAGACGCAGTCAACAACAGGTCACTGGTGCCAAGCGCAGGAAGAGCTGCTACGTCAGTTGGCCATTGATCAGTTGCAGGTCTGCGAGTGACTATTCAAAGGTGGCTCAAAACAGTTTCCAGCACTTAGATTTAGATAAGCATGATAAGACGCAACTTTTGGCAAAGTTTAAAAAGATTCTTTACATAGGGTTCAGAGCCATCTTAAATATTTGAAAATTTCAGGTGGCTCTGAACTTTAAGTACATAATTTTTTTAAACTTTGCCAAAAGCTACGTCTTATCCTGCTTATCCTGCAATATAAAACAAAAAAATTTCACTGTGCCGTTTGTGAATTATAAGCCCCCAAAGCTGTAATTAAGGATATTTTTACCGCATCATATTATTGCTACAGTAACCTATTGTGTCACGAAAATGATAACCACGTGTTCACCAATGATTGGACAGTTTTTTTATACCATGATTGTAGTATCAAGTGATAAAGAGTGGTTATAATGACCAATCAAAATCTTAATGCTGGAAACTGTTTTGAGCCACCTTAAAGAGAGGGACTAAAGCGGGCCACTGAACAGAACGTCGCTAGTTATAGTATGACCAAACCGGGGGAGGTGGGACAAACGAAGAGACAGGGAAGGTGAGGCTATCAAGGTGGTGGGGGGGGGAATGTTAGGAGGGAGGGACATACTACCGTATGTTAACGTATTCCTAACTTAATGCATCGCTTTAACTGCACTGATGCAAGAGTTAAACCAAAGCAATGCAGGAAATAACTTATACAGACCTAGTTGCCCGATGTTCCAAGAATCTGAAGGATGTGAAAAAAGTAAAACGGGTTAAATCTTGTACAGTAATATAACGACACTAAATGACAGACATAAAGCTTGGGCAGCCACGCATTGCTTGCTAACCACGCCAAACAACGAAAACTACAACATATTCTCCACTTTAAACGCCTACAATGCCGCAACAGCATCGTTGAGATGCTATTTCGATACTGTGACTGATACCTGCGCTTTTAGCAGGCTGTCTCACTGTTCATAAGTCATTTGTTTTGGCGATGAACAAATTTCCCCCAAATGAAAAGAAACGTCCCAAAGAAACAATAAGCGCATTAGGAACGGGGATCGATTGGCAACTTTTCGAACCCCTGACGTACTGCAGCGCGGAAAAATACACCAATAAAACAAAGTAGAATATATAATTTCTCGGTTCTACAACTCACCCAGTGGTAGATCGATTTGATTGTTTCGCCCGCCGATCCAACGACCACCCTTGAACACATAACGTTCACCACGGGCCAGCGAATAGATCACAACTTTATCTAACAACCATCGGGAATTTGAGCCAGAATTGTCATGGCCTACACGCAGCATTTTCAACTGTAAGTGGAAAAGGGAGAGAAAAAGCAAACAAAGATTATTGTAAGCGGTAGAATGTTTGTAGTGTTTTCGAGCAAAGAAAGAACGTTAGCGAAACAGCAAACGCAGAACGCAAGGGGCGGAGGGAGGGAGGGAGGCAAATAGGTCAAGGAATAGAAAGCTATTATGAAGGTCTTTTTGTCAATGGTCTTATCGATGATGATAAAAAAACTAACTTCTTCTTAAAAAAACCACCAAATTCAAGACTAGAGTGCAAAAACCATACCCTATTTAAGACCAAAGTGGCCAAAATCGAAACCCCTTTTGTGACCAAAACGGCTAAAACAACCGCACCCTTTAGGGCCGCACATACTATATAGCCCGTATAAGGGAGTACCTTTTCCCCCCGGTATTTGGGTCGCCAAAGAGTATGATTTTCTAAAGTTTTAGTCTGAAACAGAGTATAAATAATGGCTGTTTTGGTCTGACGTANCCCCCCCCCCCCCGCGTGTTCACTTACCCGTCCAACGTCCTCAGTCCTGATCCTGAATCTGTCCAACTGTCCTCTGTTGAAGTATCCTTTTCCTTTGTTCTTGAGCTCGATCTCTTGACTCTTGCCTTCTTCTCCCATCATTTGGAAATACACATTGGCGTCCGTGCCGGCGTTTTCCTCCGCAGCTGTCTTGAATTCCACGTCATATTCCGAGTCTGATGAAAATATGTAAGAAATGTTAGCGAGAAATGAATAACTTGGATGCAAAAACTGAACTAAAACAATAAATTGAGTGAGCTACTTAACGAACGCTTCGTCATGCAATCTGCTCTTCTTGCGCCACGAACCAAAACAGTGCTTAAGTAGGGAACTTAGCAGGCAGTTATTTCATTATTATTCATAACAATTACAATTTCCTCAAATGTGATTGGTGCAGAAACTGCTGTATTTTGCTCTAATTAATCTGCAAAGTTGTAATCGGACAATGTAATGGGACAGTTGGCTGTAATCGGACAGTTACGTGAGCCAATCATTTCAAGTCCTCTCCACTAAATCCACCAATCACAACATTGATAACAATCACTATAGTAATCAATTCAAGAGACTGACTTTGTACAATTGAGGAGGTTTAGTCTCTGCTGACTGCTTTGAAAGGGACTTGACAGCCATTTTGCAAGTTTTTCTCCATATTTTATAATTATGCTATTTAAAAATGACTATTTAAAGCTCTTTTTTCCAATGAAACTTTTACTTTTGTGGGAAATTGTAATTGTTATGATTAATTGGTAACAGGACATCGTGTCGTCCAATTCAGTCTGTAATAATACTCGTTGTTAATCACTCGTATGATTACAGACCGAACGGAACACCACTCAGTCCTATTACCATTATAAATACACGGTGAATCTCCTTGCTACCATCTTTCTTAGGCTCAATTACCAGCCGTTTTAACGAAGACGGTACTGGTCGGGAGATAGGGAGACAAAAAAAATCCTACAGGACTCCTCTCCCGTTCCCGTCCCCGTCCCCACCCCCCGCCCGCCCCGCCCCTCTTCCAAAAACGCTGGTGAAACAGCGATTACATTTTTGTTGTGTACGCGTATCTTCCGTGGCGTGCGGTGCATTTCTGTCAGCACAAAACATCTTCTAGCCTTTTATTAGCACTTTATCTGTGGCTAAGACACGTCTACATTGAATGTCTAAATAATTTGCTGCGTAGTTTCCTCAGCGAGCACATCTATTTGTCGCCACTCAATCATGACACAACTGAACAGCTTTACCGCTCCTCACCAGCTCTTCCTGCACCTCACCTCCCCCCCCCCCGCCCCCACGACAAGAGATTTATTGCAATTCTTTTCTGCCGAGATGAAATTCTTCAGTAAAATATTTCTAATTAGTTTTCACTTTTATCGTCTCACTTATGGTTACAACATAACGACTTCCCTGAGACAATGATAAAAAAGAACGACTTCGGAAGACTGCCATTGATCCCCAGTTTTGCTGTATAGTATAGTCCAGCTAGCGAGAAGTCACAAAGTACGTGAGGAAAAATATGGCCGCAAGACCACTGATCTCTCTTGGGTATTTCACTAATCGACCAACAAGTTACATTAAAAATAGAAACTGCTAAACAAGAACTACGTCTTACCGCCAAGGCCAGCTCCGGATTCTGTGAATTAGAACGGAGAAGGTCACGATTAAGATCCGAGAAATTTCTCGCAGTTTTTACTAAAAGAACCAGAAAACAAGTTCTCCCTGTTCTTATCGAGTCATAGAAACGATCATCAAAGCTTGCAAGAACCCGAAAAAGCTGCGGAAACAGTCGCCTGCGATCATACTCCCAAGATATGTCTCATTCTCCCTTTCGCGAAATCGCTCTTAAACCGAGTTGTTGTTTGAAATTTGGTAGTGGGAAATAGTTTCCGAGGAAAATACACAAAGCGCGCGTTTTCGACTGTCTAGTATAAGAAATTCCCCGTCACAAACAAGTAGATCGCCCACTTCGCGCAGCGCAACTTCCCACAACAAAAGTGATACAGTCAATGGTTTGAACCCAGAAGAATCAGTAGTTCGTATAGTGTGATCGTCCGGGTGAGGGTAGGTCTGGAAAGAACTGTTGTTGGTGACTGACGTTTCGACAACCTGAGCGGAAGTCATCTCCAGAGTCAAGTGACTTGACTCTGAAGATTACTTCCGCTCAGGTTGTCGAAACGTCAGTCACCAACAACAGTTCTTTTCAGAACTACCCTCACCCGGACGATCATACTATACGAACAACAAAACTGATGTTAATCATTAATTTTAATCGGCCTCGCACGATATTCGTGATCGTTTCCTAATACTAATACTTCATTAAAATACTTACTCCAATAAAATACTTACTGCCGCTTTTCAGAATCAAAATTACAAAACTATAATCTTGAATGACACTAATACTAATAGGATTCTAATTTAAATCTATATGTTCATGGGTTTGAAAACTTGTCAAACAGTAGGGCCTGGAATTTTATTTTAAAATTGTCAACGCTTTCGCAGTTCTTCAACTCTCTCAGCATAGAGTTCTATGCTGCTACTGTTCTCTATTCTATGAAGGCATGCGACACAACAATACTATAGCATGAAGTACCTTGCACAGTCTCTACATCAATGGGCGTGACTGGTCCTTCAATGTCATCCACTACAATAAAACAAAGTACGGTGAACAGCTCCGTCAAAATGTTGTCACACTATTCAACAGGCGTCGAGACGTAGGAGAACAAAACAAAACAAGTAACAGTTGATGAATGAATAAATTATTTCTTCTCTTTTCTCTCCTTAGCCTCGGCGCCATGTTAGAATTTTAATATTTCCAATTAACAAATCGGACGTCTTCTAGCGTGGTCTGTACTCTTATCGACAACGAGTACGCGTCATCACAGTGGTCAAAATATGCGCCTCGTGAGTCCACAGCAAATTGTGGCCAATGTGATGACGCGTATCGTTGTAGATAAGAGTGCAGACCACGCTAAACCACATTTCGATTTGTTTTTTACCACAATATCAACGTCAAAGAAAATGTTTTTTTCAGAGCGCGAGCTGAAAAAGGCATTGCGCGACACATTGACGCGACCAGCGTGGTATGGACTCTTATCGACAACGGCAAATTAGCCAATCAGATTGCGAGATTAGCAGCAATTGTGGTAAAAATGGTTTATCAAGAGAACAAGACGGAAATGGTTACGAATACAGTAAACGTCAAAGGACGACCCCGCACGATCTTATGTCCTATGCTCAAACACTATGCATGAATCACGTCACCGAAACATTTCTACTGGCTAGTTCCTCACACATAAGTAATGTATTGTGTTTTATGCACGGCCAAACCAACGAACAAAAACATACCACAAAGCACATACGTCGGGCTCCATAATCATTCCGCTCTATCGGCATTGATTCACATTAGCTGATCAATTTATGTTTTCTATGAATTTTGAGGGAGGAAAATCAGAGAGTAATTTTACTTGCAACCCTCCCCAGGCTCCCTCTCATTTCTAAATTTAGTAGAGTCCCTAACGTCTATTTTGATTGGTCGATAAATGAAAGCTCATCTAGCAGGAATATTGCCAGGCGCATCGACAAAATACCTGGGAATAGAACTGCTTCCTTCCGCTGACCAGGTCGGTCGCCCCCGAGCCAGCCGCCACATCTAAATTTATAATGTTCATCTCGCACAGGGATGTCAACATCTACTTCATCCAAATACCAGGCAGGGTCTTGTCCTTTGTTATCATGACCAATAATCAGCTGCTCGAGCTGTACAACAAATATTGAGAAAGCGTGTTGTCAAGATAAACTAGAAAAACTATTGCATCACAATTCAACACGAGGAGGATAAGTAAAGAGTGTCTTAAACAAATTTTTCTTAGGCTCCGTCCACACGTATCCGGATATTTTTGAATCCGCAATTTTTTCTCTCCGGATTCAAAAATTTCCCCGTCCACACGTAGCAAAAATATCCGGATTCGCTGCCGAATTCGCCTGATGCGTGTGGACGGAAGCCGTATCCGGAAAGAAAAAGTTGCGGATTCAAAAATATCCGGATACGTGTGGACGCGGCCTTAGACATGGTTGACAAAGGCCTCACTTTTAAAATTCCCTGACTTTTTGCTGACTTTTCCCTGATAAAAATCAAATTTCCCTGACCAAATAAATACAAAATGTCAGATCTAGTAGCGGCTTCTGGCCTCGACTTACAGCCGTCTTGTTCACTTGTTCATTTAGACTGATAAGGTTTCAACAAGTTTTCTTTCTTCAATAAAGAAAAATATTGTTGAGATCACAGTTACCCCATGTTTCGACCAGCCCTTAATAGCATTAAATCAACCGTGTTAAATTATTTCAATTTTCCTCCGCTGACTTCTCTTCAAAATGTCCACTTTCACTGACCCAAAATAAAATTCCCCAACTTTTCCCTGACCTTGAAGAATTTTCCCCTGACTATTTCCTGACCTGTGGCAACCATGGTGGAGTTTTTCTAAACCATTTCTTTCCTTTCCAATCAGGGCGGAATGAAATTAATCGGCGCCCCTGCCCTGGTTAATTCACACTCGCAGAAGAGACAATTTAGCTAGCTTTCCCAGACTTCATTTCAAGACTTAACGTTGTTACAACTTGACAAAAAATATTATGCTATACTTTTATACTTTATGCACGACAGAAAAACTACTCGAGAGATTTCTTCCGGATTTCTCCAGATTTCCAGGCACCATACCTACACATAAACTCTTCCAGGAGTCGATTAAAACTTTGCCCAATACCGTGACGACAAGCTTACGAAAAGTCTACAGCACGAGTTCTGTAGCGTAAATTAATCCTACAATTTGTAACAATAACATTTCGCACGCAACGACAATCACAACCTCACACAAAGTTCAATGAGGAAAGTCTGTACGATTAGTGCAAAAATGTCGCATGCGGCAAAGTTCCACCGTCTACTTCGACACCAAGAGTTTCAGTGCCCTACCTTTCCAACATCAACTGTTTGTACAACAAACTTGTCAGCTCTTCCCCGTTCAAATCGTCTAAAGGTTTGACTTTCGTCCCGTAGAGCGGTTCTGGGCGTTTCTCCTTTGTCGCCATGCAGAGCAAAATAAACATTCGCATCGGTTCCTGCATTCGGTTTATCACCAGTTTTCACTGTCATGTGGTACGAGATGTCTGAAAAACAAAAAGTTGAAAATAAAAACTGAGCTGTTGATGAATGTCCTGGAGTAGAAATAATGACGAAGCCAGTCACGACGCACGCTGAAATGCCTCTGGAACTTGTCTTCTGGGAATGAGCTCCCTTATAATTTTACTGTTGGTACCTTTTCTCAACAAATCAAAATGTGAAGCAAACACGGCAGTACAGTTAGCTCTCGTTAGAGCGGACACCCTCGGAACCGTCATTTGGTGTCCGTAATAGAGATGTGATGTGAGATCAGAAAATGACCCAATTTTTGGCTATGAAGTGTCACGTACTGCTATACTCTTTTAAGATTTCCAGTTTCTTTTTTTCAGTTTTCTTTTTGCAGTGTTTCGATTGATAATCATATAATTTAGATCAAAATAGTGTACAAACATTCCAAGACTGCAGAATAATTATGTCACTCAATACGTCCAAGTTCACCGTTGAAACGAGAGAAGAACAATAGAAATGTAGTTAGGAACCACGTGAAGTGTCCGCAATTCATTATAGTGAGGGTAGTTTCCATACATTTCTTCGTAGATTCGGCCGGGGATGTAGCTTCAATCCGTAATAGCGGGGCGTCCGCAATAGCGGGGTGTCCGTAAAAGCGGGCTATCCGCAAGGCGACAGTTGACTGTATAAGGAGGTTATTTACCTATGGCTGTTTTAAACTATTGAATGACTACTAAATGATGTCACGTTACTTTCTCTTACTAAAGTAACCTATAAGGGGTTGAAAACAGGGAGGAACTTACCTTCAAGGGCCTCTGGAACTGGTTTTCCAGGAATGAGTTCTCTTATAATTTTACTGTTGTTGTCGTCTTTTCCCAGCCAGCATTTACACGGGAACACAACAGTGTCTCCTTGCTTGCTGGTAACGGTGACCTCCTCCACGAACATGGTCTTACCGCGACCGGAGCCGTCATCTCCAATGCGAAGCTTGGTGATCTGTACACAGACGGACAAAAGAATCGTCAAAATTAAGGCCTAATCAACTGCCTCGATGTATTATTAAAATCTCCCGAGTACTGTTAAAAGGGCGTATGAACACCGGTAAGGAGAATCTACTCTTCAGGAGGAAATGAATCTGAATCTTTTAGTTTTACCCTACAAACCTCACCACGTCCTCTAACGGAGAATTCAATGGAATAGATCCGTAACAGAGTTCCTAATTTCTATTAAGGTTCCCTGGCCAGTGGAACTCTGGGAGTAAAGGGGGCAGCAAAACTACGGGAGGTCGGTAAGGAGAGGGGGAACAACATCCCCAGGGGTGCGGGACCTGACAAAAATAGCAAACAGTTTGCAACATAGTGTAAAACCTCCCAGAAAATATAAGCGCAGCAAGGTGGAAACCATTTGAAAGGGAGAAGTAAAAGGTGCAGAAGGCAGAAATTTCAGACCTCACCCGCTCCTCATTTGAAACTACCATCAGGTTCGACCCGCTCAATCACCCAATCAACAATCAATGAAATTGTTATTGCCACATCAAGCACTTCTAATAGGCTTACTGCCCGCAGAAAACTTGAGCTTAAAACATTCTACCAGAGGAGAATAAACGTTCTACGCATGGCTCACCTCGCCCACATCCGGACTCTTGACAGACACTTTGTAGGTGTTTCCTTTAGTGAACACGTGTGACCTTGAGTAACCGTCTCGCAGTCGGATCTTGTTGGTTTCGCCATTTCTACCAATGATCTGATAGAACGGATTTACTTCGGGGTCCAGGACTTCTCCAACTTTGATGCTCACTGCAGGAAAGTTAACAGTATAATGAATAAAGACAAAGTTGTTTCATGTTTGAGCGAAGTGTAACACCAGTAGTCACTACGTACTTGAAAAGCGCAGAGTGAGGTAATATCAACCTAGCGTCAATTGGTAATAAAAACCAGATAAAAACAACCACAATGACAACTTCTGAGCCCTCGTTTTTAGTTTAGAAGACTTCATTATGCGAAACACTGTCAAGAAAACATTTAAGAATATTAAGAAAATAAGCTTGTTTTAACGTAAGCGATGATTCGTCTTTCACTCCAAATTGTAAACAATTATTGGATGAGGTTTTTGTGATATCCAGAATAATCAAGGTCGAGGTAAGTGTTATCGGCCGAAGCCGAAGGCTGAGGCTGATAACCCTTACCGAGACCTTGATTATTTTGAATCTAATAATTGTTTTATTCTACACTGAACGAAAAAAATGGAAGTCATGTTTTTGCTTCTTCACTGACGGCAAGCAACACAAAGCGCGCGAACTTGACATGATTACCCGTAACCTTGAGGGTCCCTGACATGATTACTGTATAATCTGCAGAGATGACGTCACAGGCGCTGATTTCGAAAATTCACTGTACGCTTTCGGCCAATCAGAAAAGAGATAAAGAGTTCAATATATAATAATACAAATAAAGAACTAAAGAGAAGGCATAATTAACAGAGTCGGCAAAATAAGATATAGCTAAGCAAACATCTTGATTATGGCTTATCCATTTGCTGTTTACAATGATTACAGTTCACATACAACCAAAGGTCAAAAGATGGATGTCATTAGTACCTGTGTACATTCCATCTTGCCCTGGTAAAGATCCTTGTTCTGCAAGTAAAGAGCAACTTAAGAAAACTAACAAATTCTCCCTGCAAAGAATTGCAAAATATTTTTTTTGATGACAGAATCTACTCAGAGCGTGTACACGGTTGTATTCACGTCAACAATACAAACGTGATTTAAAGGCTACTGTTCAAAGGCACATATAAAAACACAGCGCCAAAAAACTGTTAAATGTTGAATGTTTATAGTGTCCGATGCGCTTAGCTACATCTAGCTAGCTGTCAGGCATGGCACTTTAACTATACCGAACGAAAGTAATATTTCACATTAACGCAATAGACTTAAAAATCGCAACTGGCAGGAAACAGACCAGTTGGCTATTTACAAGCATGACCGAGGAGTTGAAGAAGGGCCTACCAAGAAACAACTCCAGCTAAGTTGTCAGAGCGGGACTTGAACCCACGAGCTCCGGATTTCGAGTCCGGCGCCCTAACCACTCGACCAAACTGCCTCCCTTTGTCAGTCTGGTTGTCTTATTTCCTTTTGGTTTACTTTTTTTGTACCTGCTGATCTTAACTTGTTTTTCCAAACAAATATTCTAACATCAATAAACGTGCACAACCACGTCCTCCATCCTCGAGGTAATCTATAACTTTGTCCAGCGTTATCTTATGCCGTGACTTAAGCATGCTCAAGTAGAGTTCAATGCGTTACCTGGCGTAAACTCGACTGCCGTGTCTGAACTTCCAAACCAGCGGTTACAATAGAAAACGTAGTGTTCATCCTTTTCATCCACATCAATTGTTATTTTATCAACCAGCCAACCTGGCTTAACACCCTTATTATCCCGGCCGATACGAACGGAGCTAAGCTGGATATAAAGAAGATAAGAAAAAAAAAAATGTTTCAACAACTTATCCCACCTGGTCTCTACTCTCTTGAAAGATGAGATTGCCTCGTTTAACTAACAGCCTACAACGTCTACCTCTTCGAGAGAACACTGAAAAATCTATAAGAATCCCAAAAACCCTTGACTTAAAAGTGACACTTAATGACAGAACTGGTCTGATGAAACACAAATAGATCAGAAAACAGGAATTTGAGTCTAAGACACTGTCCCCCATGTGTTCTTTAAATTTCACAAATGTGTCTACAACAGAACATTCATCATTGATTATCTATCATCGTTTCGATTCTCTAACTGGGAAATTGACCCTTGCAATCTCTCTCGCCTCGTTTCTCAGTCCTACAGAAAAGTACACACCAAAAATTCACTAGACTTTCCTAAAGAACGTTATCACGACAGCCATACTATTATTCCCAAACAATAGGAAATTTTCCATAAGAACTCATTTCACAAAAGAGAGAAATTTCTGGAAACATCGACATGGTCGCCGTAAAGCCATTTGAAAACGCTCTATAGTGTTATCCTCACCTTTCCAATGTCTTGTGTCCTGATCAGGAATTTATCCATTCGTCCTCTTTCGAACCTCCTCTTGTCTCCCTCCTCCCTCAGAGCGAAATTCTGCGTCTTTCCCTTCTCACCGAACATCTGAAGATAAACATTGGCGTCTGTGCCGGCATCGCTTTCATCACCAGTCTTGATCATGATGCGATAGTCAACATCTGTGGATAAACGAGTCATGAATCACGACAAGGGAACCTTCTACACAATGACTGCTGATTTGAACTAATCCGGCTGTGAAAAAGGCTCTCCAGTAGAGGACGGGACGAAGGGAAAGCGGGAAGAAAGAGAATAGAAGAGAGAGGAAGTGGAAGAGATAGGAGAGGAGACGCCCCAAACCCCCACCCCCTCCCCTCTCGGTCACCTCACTCTCAGCCAACTTCTTCTCGGCCCTTCCAATCGTGATCAGGCCATCCAGCCGGAGCTTATTCACAGGCAAATTTTAACTGACACAGCAGTACCTTACGTTCTTCCTTTGGAAACAGGTTTTTGAGAAAGGTTTCCATTTACTTGCGTGTTAGAAAAAACAGACAACGCTTGGAATTCTTCAAATATGATTTCCCTCTACCAGATATACCATTTCTTATTACCTTGCAACAAATCCTTGGTTTCCGCTGAAACAAAAAACAAAAGCCAGAAAAAGCATTAAGCTACTGGAGAAATTCGAACAAACCACATTGGGAAAGCAACAGATTTACACCTAGAAAGGCGTCATAAAAAAGCGATGGCGACCATTTTTAACAAAATAGAAAAGCATTTTGTACAACTCAAAGTCTTTTCAAGCCAGACAATTCTTGAGAATCTGTAACTAGGAAACGTTTCGTCAAGACCTTGCTCTCCAGTCTTTTTTCCAAAAATCAAATTTGGTCATCTCGGTAATTTCCTCATTGCTGTTTCAACTATTATTGCTTTTAAGTTATAGCCCATAATATATCTTCCACGCTACGAACGTCCTATTAAATAAACTCCTAAGGACATACCAGGAACAAGATCAACATCTCGTTGACTGCCGACAAGCCAGCGGTGGCAAGGGAAGATGTACTGCTCGCCTTTATCAGGCACATCAATGGTCACTTCCTCGAGGTACCAGTCCGGATCACGGCCAGAGTTATCATGGCACACATGCAGCTTCTCGATCTGGAAACAAACCGGAAATGGCATTCAAACCGGAAATTGAAAATGAAGTGGCCTTCACAGCCATTACTTAGGTCGTGAAGCGTCGCTTCACCTAATAAATAACGGCTGCCAAGGAGACTACTGGGAATGTAGTTCTCAGCTAAATTCAGAGCTAATTGCATCTTGAAAAGTAGAATGGTAAACCAGTTCAGGACCCAACTAGTTCGATATTGAGAGGACGAGACCATGGAGCAGTAGTAAGTAGCATTGCTACTCCTCCCCGGACAGGATGCTGTTCCAGTGTCAGTTACCAACCCCCCCCCCCCCCTCCAGTCACCCATCTCCCAGTATTTTCATCTTGTCACCGTATCCCAAGAGTTCACCGATACCCTTTTATACATCTGGATCGAGATAAGCACTGTAAGGGTGTATAAGCCCAAGAATGCAGGTTATGTCCTTCGACCCAGCGCCGACTCACGTTCGATTTTGTTTTTTCCCAAGTCCGAAGTGCTAAATCATTTTCACCACACGGAAGCCAAGTACTGCTCCGCTTCACTCGTTATTTAACTTATAGCTAGTGCTACTATTTACACTACAAGGGACGAAAGTCTGGTTTGTCTCCATAATTGCAAGAAACACATGAAAAATCAAACAACAGACTAATTTTCCAGGTCGTGGAAAGGAGGCCAATATTGTTTTAATCAAAACCACTTCACCAACGTAACTTCAATACACACCTTTCCTACATCTGGCGTGTCCACTTTGAACTTATCACTGTTGCCTCTCTCAAACAGTCGCAGACTCTTATCCTCGCTCAACGAAATAGGCTCGGTTTTGCCCTTGTCTCCAAACAGTTCAAACTGAACTTCAGCCGTTGTTCCAGCGTTGGGTCTGTCACCAGTCTTGAACGTAACTTGGTAGTAGGTTGTATCTGCTCACAAAAGTGAACATTTCAGTTGGCTAGTTCATGTTTCATCAGGAGAACAAAGAAAAATATACAGAAGTGGTCTTTTCCAATTGTGGGCGACTAAGAGCGCGCTTCCTGCGAAGTAGCTTTTAAGCTAAGCGGAGTTAGTACTGTAAATAAAGAATTACCTATTGCCTATAATTTGAGTTAACATCCGCTCCGCTCATGCCACTTTTCGTGTTTGCAGCTGATGCCATGTTTTCCCTCACTTTTCAAAGGTCAGTTGTTTTCTCGTGCTGCCACTGNGGGGGGGGGAGTCTACACAAGTGTTTGCCGAGTTCTGACTGGCTAATTACACTATGATTACGTTACTGTGTCTACTTATCAGTTGCTTAGTACTAATAACTGAATTCACATAAAGGGCCATCTGTTCAAGGTCCAATGTAATGACCTACCAAGAGGCACCTCCAGCTCAGTCTGCTGGACGTGTTCCACGGTCACTTTATCCTCGTCCCCAGTCCAACAGTGACAAGGGAACACCACACCATCTCCGCGTGACGCCGTGACCACCACTTCTTCAACGTACAGACCTTTACTGGGAGCACCGGAAACATCCTGACCGACTTTGACATCCATGATCTGAATAAGAAAGAATGATTTTAAAAACTAGTGACACCTCTTTGTATGTGCGAGGATCTGTTTTTCGTACCAGCGCACAAGTGAAACATGAGAGAACCCCCACTGAGGGGCTCTCATGTGAAAAAGAAGGGGATGCTGTTCGGAAAATTTGAATTAAACCTCGAAAAAGAAACAAATCTCAGCATGGCTCGAACTTTATTTGACCCCATAAAATAAATCACTTTGAAATGGACAGACAGCGTTTTTAAAAATATTTCTTCGAGTGCAACCCTAAACGATACCGTGACGGATAAAATAGTGGCGTTTTATCTTGACAATCCTTAATGGACCAAAATCTGTGATTTAAAACGACGAGCATCCACGCGAGCAAATCAAGCACGGAAATACTGTCCTTCACTGTAAATGACAACATCTTTTCCGAAAAACTCGAATAACCATTAACAAAAAAAATCGTGTCCGGAAAGCGCAGAGTTTTAACTTCCCTCTATCGTCACACGGAAAGCAGAAGGATTTTGAAAAGAAAATCAAATATACTCGGAAACCTGACGAAAAATTATAACTTATCAAAGGTTTATTCGATAACAAACAAACAAACAACACAGTAAACACAGAAGATGCTAATTAACCAAACAATAACGGAAAACAACGTGACCCTGACCCATCACAGACTGATGGACACAATGGCTCCCCTACCTCTTCATAGGACCCCCGTGGGGGCAAATTATTTACATCTTGACCCACTCGAACATCAAAAATCTGTACACAGGGGAGAGGGGAGGGTTACAATTAACAAAGAGTTGTTAGATAAGTTGCGTTTGAAAAGCATTAGGCTTAACCTTACTTTTTAACAACAGATTAATGGCAATGCTTTTAAAACAATTACTTGAAGTTAGTTTACATGAATAAATGGAATTTATAGCAGGGCAGCTGATGAGGTGAGCATACAGCATAATAAATGTAAGCAGCTTCACAAACAGCTAAGAGAACAGTGGTAACACATGAAAGTGCTCATTAGAATGGTCACACACTAGGGTTTCATCCAAAGACTTCAAAAGTTATAACCACCTCGCACAGCATATTAAACAGTACCACATGAAAGTACTGCTCAATAACTTTCATTTGAATGGTCACACGCTAGGGTTTTATCCACAGACTTTAATGTTAGAACCACTTTTTACACCACAATAAACGGTACCACATGAAAGAACTTCACAATAACTATCGTTTAAATGATCACACACTAGGTTTTAATCAACAGACTCAAAATTTGGGGCCAGAGTTTCTTATAATTCCCGTCAACGTTTGCCCCAGGGAATTCCCACCCAAAGCACTTACCCGTCCGATATTAGCAACTCTAGCCACCACCTTATAAATGCGATCCTTCTCAAACTTGTCATTAGGTCCATAGCCAGGTTTGATCTGGATCTGTCCGCTTTCTCCCTTCTCACCGACAAGCTTGATCCAAACTGGAGTATAAGGGTCGGCGACCTCCCCCAGCTTGAGATGAACTGGAATAAAACCGACTTAGTCAACGCCGTCTTAAGAGTTACTGCCTGTAAATATGGAGAACTTGACGAAAGGTTCTCCATACATACAAAAGTTCTCCAAGTAATATATCAAACACGAGAGACAGTGTTTCATCGGGATATCCAAACACCGAGAAAAGAGTTAAAAATATGATGCGCAGCGGAGTATTTTTAACAAAAACTAAGGAGTAAACGGAGAACTAAAATCGTCAAAACCTATGCTAATTAAGATCGGGTATCCAAACCTCCTTCACGGTTGTGATTTTCTTTGTTTTAACTTGATGAATTATTAATGAGTTTGAGAAGTATACAAAACGTATTTACTTCAAGATGGTATTTAGCTGAGAGATATGATCAAAGTGTAAATTACAGCTGTGTGAATATGAAATCAAGGCAGGTTTCCTTCTTTCTGTACTGGCCCGTTGAAAATGCTCAATTTTGCATAAATACCATCGGCCATCTTGGTTGATCAAGCAGTACTTCGCGGAACTTTCCTAGATTTCACCAAAATGTGAACTCGCTGGAACCTTTGAAGCATAAATTATTTCTGAAAATAGTTCACCAAACGGGTCTTTTTGACGCAATAAAAGAAAATTCGAATTTTCGGTCCTGACGTCGTTCTTCATTTATTTACTAATTTACATTTATTTACAGGCAGGGAAAAAAATTTCTATTTTTCGAGAAGTCGAGTTGACTATCGCTCACGGAAGACGAAGGTAAAAAGTTCAATTGTTTTAGAAGACAGCATTGAATCTAAAAGCATTAGAATCAGAAATCAACTTCGAGAATCTGGGGTGTGTGGCAAACAATTTTTTTTCTGACTCAATTTAAGCTATTTAAAGTCAACAATAAATTTCCCAAGTTAAGTGAGCACAAAATACGTAACAACGATTCTTGGCGCTAATAGCAGCCAATATATAAGTCACAGCGTGGATCTATGTAGACCAATGTTATTATTCTGAGATTGTGTAGGGCGAATCTCGCAAGCCTCAAAAGCACTAACATAACACAACTGTGCTGACTGAGTACAAAATGACTCAACTACATATAAAAACAATGAACTTACTGGTATAAAGATCTGTTCTTGTCTTTTCATCCACTATATAAAGACAAAGACAACAACCGAATAAGCGTAAAATATTGATTTCCAAAAATTTGTAGATTAAGGTGATTTCATCAGAAAAGAATTTTAAAGATTTTCTAAAACGGAGATCGCGATGCTCTTTGTATTTTTTTTTTTGCGCAGTATGGATGGTCGCTGCGGTAACTATAACGATCCTACACGAGATTATCATAGGAACCCTAATGATCACAAGCACCGAAAATTCGAAAAAAGGGTTGAGTAAGATCTAAGGAGCAGAACATTCCTCCCACACTGGCGCCGCGTGGGGGTCTTCGGTAGGGCGGGGGGGTGGGGAGTTGGAGGGGGAGTCAAAACCAATGTAGTTATCCTCGTTCCTCAAGCCTCGCCCCTCCCGCCTCGCCCGAGCAAGTATCCTCTCCATCAGTCACGTGATATAAAAGATCAGACTGGTTGCTGGTATACGGTATGCGCCCGTCCCCTCAAACACTTTAGGATCGTCGGTTCTCGCCCAGGGGTGAGCTACCAACATTAACTCTTTTAAACTCTAACCACAAATACGTGTAAAAGACAAAAAGCATCCTCAGATAAACAATAATTCACGACGGCTTCTCTGTTGGCAACAGAACGATATTTGCATCGATGTTTTGGGGTGTTACTTTCGAAGAGAGGGAGGGGAAGGGGGCATATCATAGCATGGACTGTTTATTAGCGGTTTATTAGTATTAATTTTTAAATATTAGTATTACCTGATGATTTTTAACCGTGTATAAAGAAATGTTAAATAAATAAAAATAAATAAACAAATCATGAGAATTTTACGGTATCAAATTGAGTGGAATATAATAAAACAAGTTAAAGAACAGTCAATAAGTGATAAGATTAAGATTTACCTGGATCTAACTTGACTTCCTCTCCGGCTATCCAGTTGTTGTACTCAAAAACATAGCTTTCATCCCTTGATGGGATTTCTATGGACAGCTTCTTCAGAAACCATTCAGGATTGCGTCCAGTGTTATCATGACCGACGCGAAGTTTAGTCAGCTAAAAACAAACAGTGTAGAAAGTATTGAGCATTATTTTATTGTTAAGAAACTACTCAAGGTTGCGCGTGTAATTAGAAGACATTTAGATCAGACTTGTGCATAGTTCAAGGCCCTGTGCACACTACACTGAAGGAAATTGAAAACAGAGATTTCACTCTGAAAAAACATCAAATGTTTGCCGTCTACACTACGCCGGAGGAATTTAAAAACGCAACAATCTGCGGTCATTTTGGGTTGGTGTTTGAGGAAAACTTGGGAAGGGAACTCACATGATTATCGTGGTGTCAACGTTTTCGAAAAGCTACGTTTTCAAAATGTTTTCAGTTCGAACTAAAACGCAAAGGCGGCGTTTTGAAATTCATCCAGTTTGAAGAGCGTTTTCGAAAAGCTCCGCTTCCGCGTAGGCTTAGACGTGGAAATAAAGCTGCGTCTTTCTCAAATACAAAATCAAAATGGTGATTTGTTGCGCTTTTAAATTTCTCCGACGAAGTGTGGACGAAAAACATTTCATGCGTTTTCAGAGTGAAAACGCCGTTTTCAAATTTCTCCGGCGTAGTGTGGACGAGACTGAAGTTTGTTTGAAGCAACTCTACCAAGGATAAGTGTACAGATTATGATAAATCAACTTATAATCATGCACACAACTTGCAAATAAATCACCAGTTTCCAAAAGAGCCCGGCACTAAAACAAAGTGTCATAAGTTCACAATTTGGCTATTTTTCCAGCCCCTTTTCCTGCATTCCGAAACGCATATAGCTGTTCAAATTACAAACCAGATAAGACGCCGGACAATCAATCAGTTACCTTTCCGACGTCTGCCGTTTCTACAGCAAACTTGTCGATTCTTCCGCGTTTAAACTTAGGCGCTTCGAGTTTGTTTTCACTTTTGAACTCGATCTTCTCAGTCTGTCCGTTCTCTCCGAAGAGCTGAACGTAAACAACGGCATCTGTTCCGGCGAAGGGTACATCCTCTGCTGTCTCAAACGTCATGTTATAGAGACAACCTGAATAAAAAGAAAATTTATATAAGCAGTTATTACACAACCTACAGTGCAGGTATTAACTTTGCCAAACAAACTTGGATCAGTCGCAGAGGAATGAAGAGTACTGGAGGAAGGAAATGCACTGGTAAATTACAACATTTAGAGAGGAAGCCACATTGGCCTTTGCTGGTTTTCATGCCGGCGGGTCCCCTCTCCTGATCGAATTGGAATTTAGTGTTGGTTTTTGTGGAGGGAAGAAAACCGGAGAACCCGGAGAAAAACCCTCGCAGCAAGGCGAGAACCAACAACAAACTCAACCCACATGTCCACCACCGAGCCGGAATCGAACCCGGGTCACATGGGTAGGACGCGAGCGATCTCACCACTGCGCCATCCCTGCTCCCCCGAATGCAACAGGCAATGATTACAAATGGCTGCTATCAAGAGATCAATTTTTCTTACTGCCTAGCTGTGGTTGAATCGTTTCACCAGGTACCAAAACTCTGGCTGTTTTGCCGTCCCCTTCATCTTCAGCAAGCCAGCAGCGGCATGGAAAAATCACTGGATCTTCGTCCACGCACTGTATCTCAATCTCCTCCACGAAAATTCCACGCCCGCGTCCATGGCTGTCATTGCCTAGAAACACCTTGTTGATCTGTGTATCCAATTAAAACAAACGCTGTAACATTGCTCACTAAGAATAGTGTGACGAGTTTCAAAACAAACTGTTGCGCTGCATTGGCCCGCGAGTGAGACACTTAGTTGCTTGTCAACTTGAAGTTGATGAAGGTGAATTACTGTAACCTCCGTGGAGTGAATTTGAAAAAGTAACGTTTTGACCGTTAGTCCGTCTCTGGACATTATCCTGCAAGAGCTCTCTCCCTGGAACTAGGAAAAGATAGCAAGTACCCGGGATAAGAAATTGAATTTTTACGATACATGTGTGTAAGAAATGGTGTCAAGGGAAGATAAAGAGAACTGCTGGATGATGCGAAAAGCTGCAATGGGCGACAAAAGTAATCAGAGAACTTTTACAAAATGATACTTCAAGTTATACTTCTCAATTCTTCTAGCAATAATTCTCTGTTATACAAGTGAATATATAAAAGATCATATTACAATTCTCTGTTATCCCAGCCTCTCAATTCAATACTGTTTATGTGCGATGATCTGCACAGTCAAGAGATAGAGGGACCAACATTGAGAGGAGGATATTTTTTCCAAAGACACTCAAAAATAGATTTTTACAGTCAAGTGTCTCGACATGTCTTTCTTAAACTCATTAATAATTCACCAGGTTTAAACAAAGGAAATCATGACCGTGACGGTGTTCCGATATCTGATGTTTGACCACATTTCGAAACACCTCGAAGTTCGTTAAAAATACTCGTATTTTCAACTCTCTTCTCGATGTTCAGAAATCTGGTCATAGAAGGTCTATCGCGTTTGACATATTACATCGGCCATTGTAGGTCAGGGAAACACGAAATCACAAAGGGATCGAAAGATTGGATGATTAACAATACCTTTCCGATATCCTTTATATTGACCGACACTCTGTACTGCTTCCCAGGCTCAAATGTAGTTCCGTCAGAAGGTGTCAGGTATATCTTGCCCGACTCTCCTCTGTCCCCGTACAGGATCATGTACAGCTTAGCACGAGGGTCCAGTACCTCGCCGAGACGGAACAGAACTGAAAAGCAAAAGGAACAAGGTGTGGTTTATAAAGAAAATATCCAATTTAAAGGGGAGACGACCGATTACTCAAACAAGGGAACTAAACATGTCACTTTCGGAAAAAGGTAAAATTTATCGAGCTAACGAGAATTGCAACGCATGGTGTAGCAGTTGAAAACAAAACAGTCTGAACAAGCTACCAGTCATTGGCTGCCATTTTGACGACAAGATTACCAAACATCAGCCAATCTCTGAATGAACGCAACAAACTTGTTTCTGTCTCTAATACAAGACACAACTAGGCTAGATTTTGGGTACGACCATTGTTCATTTTCGGCCCGACTGTTTCCAAAAACGGAGGGATCAAGAAACGGTTGGCAGAAACAATAGCTTCGTCTACTTGAAAAACCGAAGCTTCCAAAAGAATTCAATCACTCTTCATTTCACATTAAACTTCTTGTGAATGTTCGTGACAACCTCTGCTTGAAAAAAATATCAACGCTTTGCCTTTATCCTCGGTAGTGAATTAGTTTGACTAACAACTGGGTTTCTTAATCTATTAATATCATGGGTAACAAATGACTCCTTATTTTTGGCACGAAATTAAAGGTTAATTTAAAATTTCACCTGTGAAATTACAAAATTGCCATGGCAACGTTTGGCACGAAATTTATCGTTTCAATAAACAAATCAAAAACCTAAGGCTGTAAGCGTAATTTGTCTGTCACCCATAATATTAAAAGATTAGCCCTACTAATTTCACCCCGTGTCTTTGTTAGACCCATGCTTACTGTCATATGGGGGTTGTACAGTCTCTCCGGGTTGTAGAACTCTGCTAGACTTGCCATCTCCTTCATCTTCGGCCAACCAACAGCGGCACGGAAATATGGCGGGTTCTTCATTGGGTGCTGCAACCTCAACTTCTTCCACGAAAACACCATGACCCGGTCCACGGCTTTCGTTTCCAAGGTTTATTTTCTCAATCTAAGTACACCAAATTGACGCCGTTAGTATTATTTATGCGGGAAGCGTGATGGCCTCACGGTTAGTGCGCTCTTCTCTGGATCGAGCGTTCCGGGTTCGAGCCCTGGCCGGAGACACAATGTTGTGTCTCCACCCAGACCCAGCTGTATACATGGATACAGGCAAACTTAATGCTGGGGGTAAACCTGCGATGTACTAGCGTCCCATCCACGCAGAGTAGAAATACTGAAGTCGCCTCATGCTACAGAAACCGGGATAAGCTCCGGCGTGTGCAGACTTAAGCTTGTTTTACTTTAATTTAACTAATATTCAGACTAGTATTAGTTTTGGACGAGTTTAAACGGTATCGTTGCATACGACTACTTAAACTACGCAAACTTGCAATATTAGCCAATCAGAAGCAGAGTCTATTGTCTTGATATCCTGAAATATCAAATATCAAATCACTGATATCATCAGAGTTTTGACCGCATTTGGGTTCTTTTTAGTACGGTTTAGCGGCATCAGGCACCTTTGTCTCGCCAGGGGTATCTACAAAGTGCGGCTCGACCAAACGCGCCTAACATGCCGCCGAAGCGTATAAGTATAAATACAAAAGGATTCGCCAATTGTTCTCTGATTGGAATACTCGCCTTTAACTGACCCAAGGAAAGCAAGGAAAGTGAAATATCGCAACATTCTAGCTTTTATTCGGCCGTTTCTCTTTATCGCTGAAGAAATGTCAACTATTACTTTGGAATACAAGAATTCGTTTTGAAAAAGTCAAAATTACTTGTAAAACAAAAGCCCATTTATAATTCCTTGCTTGGTGATCAGGCCTTTGACCAGAAGGGAGGCTAGAGTAGCCTTTGTTTTGGTACAAACCTTGCTACTTCACAAATTTCAATTGTTCTGTTACCATTCCAACTATTTCTCATCTCTATTACCACAAGGTCACCCTCGGTTTCATACAGAGGCTCGGTTACAATTCACAGAATTTTAAAATGGCGTACGATCAACTTACCGGTCCGATATCTCTGATATTGGCAGACACTGTATACAGCCTTCCCGGCTCAAACTTTTTGCCATCCGGAGACGCCAGATAGATTTTTCCTGATTCGCCTTTTCTACCATAAAGAATCATGTACAACTTGGCACGAGGATCCGCCACCTCGCCAAGACGAAAGGCGACTGTTGAAAGATCATAACAAACACATGTTAGTAAAAAAAACACAATACATATGCACCTATGAAAATGCCGCAATCTGATTGGCTGAGTTATGGTACACTATCTGTCATAAGTAGAATTCTACTAGCATACCAACTCTGATGCTGCAATTTGATTGGCTGGGCTACTCGTGCACTATCAGTCATTAGTAGAATTCTACTAATGTGCTAAAGCCAACGCTGCCATCTGATCGGCTGAGCTGTTCGTATACTATCAGTCATTGCAGTCCACCACTAAATTTTCTCCGATTCTTATTGGTTTAAATTGATCACATGACGCAATAGAGTTCATCCGCGGAGAGCTATCAGCCCATAGTGCCCGCCCGAGGAACATACCCGGATGGATAATATTTGCCGTGAAAATTTTTTCTGTAAACAAGCGGGCTTATAGAAAATAAAGAATTGAAATTGTATTAAGTGGGTTTTTTGTCTGTTTTCTTTTTCAACTTTTATTCTTGGCTTTCACGGCTTTCACGGCTTTCACGGCTTTCATCTAAAACAGTTGAAAATAATTCAATATGATTTTTGAACTGGCGCGCGGAAGAAAATTTAGTGGAGAACAATAAAGACAATAGAGTGTTAATGTCTCGGAACTAACGGCCTGATAGTTGCCCCTTGGAAATTTGATGTTCTTAAAACTATCATAATTGCCCTCGAAGCTTCGCATCTCGAGCAAACATTTGTTTTAAGAACATCAAACTTCCGCGGCGCAACTATCAGGCCGATAGTTCCTCGACAGAGACAACACTCTATTGTTTAATCAGAGTGCAGTGGGGGGAGGTCGTCCACATTATGGCAACGTTTTCTGGTTTCTCCAATGTTTCGAGGAAGATTTAGAAATATTCCTGGATAATTTAATTTTCAAGAACACTAAAGAAAGGAAACTGACCGTTATGCGACTTTAAAACCTCAAAATTTCTCAAGGAACCGATGAGCGTGCGCTTCAGAAAACAATTCAATCCACGCGATTTTGCTAGAGCGTCAAGTAATGATTGGAACTCGTTATTTGAGGGAAATTTAGTCAGAAATCTACTAAAACAATTACATCCCGATTTCTACGAGGTGAAACTATCACCTCGTAGAAAATCTCAAGTTCATAACCTAATTGTTAGTTAGAGTATTTTTCTAAGGGCTATCGAAGCAAAGACGTGTTAGTTTAGTTTTAACCTTGCTAAACTCAAACTGGTCACAAACAGTCTATTACAACATGCACTACCCAATCACAGTAAAGGTTTTACCCCCAAAGCCAATCAAGAGCAATACTGAAACTACTCGTGACTTGCTTGTTCAACTTTTCCCGCGCTTTTCAAACACTCTCGCTCTTGCCACAGGTTACACGATTTCCCGCCCTTTCCATAGGTGACGTGTTTTGCGCTTGCACGCTACCGGAATTCTAATTCTTAGATGAACTGGTTATACTTTTTTCCTGGACTGATTTGAGTTCTTCTCTATGAATTCTTTGATTACGTTCCTACAACACAAAGCACGATTAAGCCAACTCCAGTATTAACGTGAATTTTCATTTTTAATAGACCTTTCCCGCATTCCACTTCAGTGCGTACGAACAATAGCACCATAGCGAGGTTGGGGTGGACATTTTCATACATTAATTTTACTGTATATTTGTCCACCCTGACCTCGACTTGGCGCTATTGTTTGTTGGAATGCGGGAAAGGTCCATTAGTCCTTCAGATAAATTTTAAAACTCAGCAAAACATTAGCAGTGAAAAACCCTTTCAGGTATATATACTGAGAAAGAGAGTAACGACCTATATCACTTACTATCATAAGGTTGTGTCAGCGACTCTCCAGGCACAATCACACGTGCTGTTTTTCCATCGTCTTCATTCTCAGCAAGCCAGCAGCGACAAGGGAAAATCACTTTTGGTGCATCAGGTGCAGTGACTTCGATCTCCTCGACAAATACTCCTTTATTACGGCCCTTGCTGTCGTGACCAATGTGAACTTTTTGTACCTGTCGAGTAAAGTTAAAGTATAATTCCGTTACGTTCAATGTAGGGCAAATCGCTGCCGGTTGTGTCGTTACTCGACCATTGTGGTCAAACTTTAATAGCAAATTATGTGGTAAGCTTCTGTCAATCCAGTAAGAACAATGGTAAACAAGTAAACAATTCTCGTGCAACTTTCTAAAGTTGAAAAAAAATCCTCATGAAGTTCTTTTTTTTTTCATCAAGTTATCTGACAATTCAATTAGTTTGTTGGGACATGAGTTTCTAAGAATTCTACTTCACATTCTACTTCTTTTTTCTTTAAAATTCAGGATCTGATGCTCCACAACAAAATCACACACTATGCAGACAGAACCCTTGCCTTGCACGAAGTTACATTCAGAAAAAAAAATGTATGTCGTAGCATCGACTCTCGAAAAGGACCAAGAATGGTTTAAACTACTAGTGCATGTTATCCAGAGACAATTAGAGTAGTTTTCCACTGAGTGTCGTAAAACCAAACCAATATCATTACTCTAGCCAATCACAAAGGACACAGAAAATCCAATGAGCCAATCAAATCAATCATGTAGATGACACAGAGCGCGGGAAACGTGTGCGATCGAGTTACAATTGGTTTTAATTTTCCTTCTGAATGGATAGGAATATGGAACGATTTTTTTTTAAGCCAATCAGGGTAGCGAAGTAATGCAAAACCAGTTACTCTTCGACAAGTGAAAACCGCACTATACACAATGAACCAATGAGAACTCAGAGCACACAGTCGTAGACGTTTCAGACACCAGACGCGGGAAAACACTCGTCACTGTGTCGCGCGGGGACTGGGTTTGGATTTGCATCTGATTGACTGAAGGCGCAATTTTTTTAGACGAATCAAGTGTCATATAACGCAGAGAATAACGTCCTGAAGAATAAAGAAAAACAACTTAGGAAACGACTGCATTCTGTGAAAAAGTGCACCAAAACCTGGATAAAACCTGCGAGGAGGAATTATCAATGACTTACATTGCCAATGTCCTTAATGTTGACAGTCACTTTATAGAACTTGTCTGGCTCAAACTTAGATCCATCGGGCGACAGGTAAATCCTCCCAGACTCCCCTTTGTCACCGTACAGCACCATGTACAACTTGGTGTCAGGGTCCAGGACCTCTCCAAGGCGAAAACCAACTGTAAAGAAAGGTATAAGGGTTACGTTACACTATGGTGACAATTCTGTTGTTGATTCTGTTACGGTACACGACGCTTTTCTCTGGACGTGCAGAGTCAAATCTACGTGAACCCAAAATTATAGCCGACAGAATCAAAGTAGAAAAAACTAAAGAAGAAATAATAAAACGACAAGGAGCAAAGATAATCACACTAAGAAAGAATAACGAATAACGAACGTGAAAACTTTCGCCTGAATTTTTCACGAAGTAAGATGTGTGCCGCATTTTGAATATAATTAGGGAGTATAAAGCCTGGTTTTCACTAGCGACACAAGCACAAGCCCAGGCACAAGCGCAACAAGCAACACGGATGACAAGCACAAGCAGATTCTGAACTGTATAGGCACAAGGTAATCTGGATCCAGTGTTTTCACTGGCCAAACATAACCACGTTTGGTAAATAGCCTTGCGCTTGTGTTATGCCTGAGCGGTATTTCCTTTTTCTCTTGTTGCAGCGCAAACGCAAGCACAAGAAAAGGGAAAAATTCTAATCCTTGTGCTTGTTCTTGCGCTTGTGCTTATGCTTATGCCTGCGTCAAGGCCATTTTCACGGTGAAATAAGAGTTGTTGTGCTTGCGCTTGTGCTTGCGCCGCTAGTGAAAACCAGGCTTAAGAAAATCAAGAAGGCAACGGGAACGGGAATGTCGCTAAACAAAAGGATAAACGACCAGGACAATGGCTATGCACGTGCGTTATAAATCTCTGTACATTTCTTTGCCGTCCTCTGCAAAACAACAACGTGAAATGACCAAGTTCTGCGTTGTTTGGAGAACGTGAACCACGATTACTTATTTTTAAAAATCTATGTCAAATTTATCGCTTTGTTCCAGATTCAGTTTGTGATAGTTTTGACATTGACTAACAAACTTAATGACTTTAGAGAATCGTGACATTCGCAGGCAAAATATAATTCATTTTCTAATCGACGTTGTCCTCGGCATCGCCGTCGTGGTTTCTTAAACTCCCTGCTACTAGACTTTGAAACATAAGGCGTGCGAAGCAAGCCATGCGTGCCGGTTTTCCCTCTCCAGACCGCTCTCGGCTTGCTCCGCCTGCCTGTTTCTTTCTTCACCCTATAACCCAACAGAGAACCTGTTTAAAGGCTACCATTTGAAGGGTTAAAAAGTAAAAAATTCGTTCAGAATCCATGCTTACTGTCATATTGTGAAGTCAGCGACTGTCCAGGTACTAAAACCCGTGTTGTCTGCCCATCATCTTCATCTTCAGCCAGCCAACATCGACAAGGAAACACCACAGAGGGACCCTTGGGAGCTGTAACCTCCACTTCCTCGACAAACACCCCCTGGTTGGGGGACAACCCCTCCTGACCCATGCTGATGTTACGAACCTGAAATTCATCAATGAAAGTTTCGGTTTGAATGTTCACTCTGATCTAGAGAAAAACTTTATGCAAAGGTTCCTAAGAAGCCTATCATAACGGACCCTTAGTCCGTACATGTAGTTTGTGATGCACAGGTTGCGAGAGGAAGTTACCAGAATGCGAAAAAAACTCTGGTTTTATCAGCAATCCCTCTCATTTTGGGTGTAAATGAGGCAAAACAAAAAATCACAAACTGGATTCCATTCACGACTTTTTTTCGCCGCTGTGTTCTATTTCTCGACACGCCGCAATAGAAAAAAACGCTCTAAAATCCAGCTGAGAGTCTGTGTGCGTTGAATGAGAATCCCTACGAGTGACTTTTTCAAAGAAATATTTTATTCAAAAGAAGCAAGTCCTATATTCCTGATCTGTTATTTTTCTTTCCTTCTCTCGGCATCACCTGATGTGACAAATATATGAAAAATCTACAAGACGCCCAAAACTCTATCACTGAGTGCGCATTAACAATAATCTTCAGACTCCACCCTCTCCTCCCCTGACACGCTCAAATTGTCCTTACTTTCCCCACGTCAGTTGTCCTGACATTGACAGTGTAGAGCTTTCCAGGTTCTAGTTTCCCTCCCTCTGGTGTCAGATAAATCTTCTCTGTGTCTCCTCTGTCACCGTGGATTACCATAAACAGCTTTGTATAAGGATCCAGCACCTCTCCCAGTCTGAACGACACTGTTGATACATTAGCTTAAAATTAATATCATCAACACAAGCAGTACAAGCTCAGTGTGGAGTGGAAGAGACAGCATCGGGATTTACACCTATACTGAAAATTGTTAGACTGTTTTGTGTATCAGTTATGTGACTGTGCCAAGAAAAAATACGATACAATCAGATGGCTACACAGTTTCCCACATGTACTCTGACGATTAAATGTTAATGAATGAGAATTAAATGTTTGGAATTTATAACCATGACAGACGGAATTTATAAGGCACAGGCAGACAAGCAGGCAGAAAGGTGGGTAGGCAGGCAGAAAGACAGACAGGCTGGCAGGCAGGCAGGCAGGCAGAAAGGCAGACAGACAGACAGACAGACAGACAGACAGACTGTGAGACAGGCAGACAAAATTATTTGCCAATCAGTAGATACATGGACTCAACAACAACTACACTGTATAATAACATTTAACCACATAGAAAACTACCTTGATATTCAGCCATCTCTGGTTCAGGCTCTGGCTCAGGTTCTGGAGCTAAATTCAACAGAAATGTAATCATCACATTGAGTAGCATTGATTCAAGTACCATGAAAACATCATCAAAATCACCATGAACCCACAGCCAGTATAGAACAGGGATGTACTTCAAGTGCGAAAACACTAGTCTACAGTGTATGTTAAGAGCAGTGTCATGGACTGAAGTCCTGTTTATGAGCTGGACTAAACAATGAGTATGTGCATTTAAACCAAAACCTCAATTAAAGAGAAAAGCCACTTACCTGCAGACTCCAGTGAATTCTCAACAACAGTTATATTCTCCTCTTGGACTGTATCCTCATCAACTATTAAAAAAAGGTAACAAAGCAAACATTGCTGACTTGAGAGCTGAACTATAAAATGTACAACACTGTTTATACCTGTATCTCTAATTCACAAATTTGGCATCATTGTTTACATGTAGCTTTGAGTACTTATAATTCAAAAACGGCTTGGTAACCCTTTCTTATTACATGGAATCGTGATAAACACAATAAGATAAAACTTTTGGCAAAGTTTAAAAAAAAATTCTGTAGGCAGAGTTCAGAGCCACCTTAACTTTTTGAAAATTTAAGGCAACAGCAAAGAGAACCTCACTGAACAAAAGATTTATGAGCAGGACAATGGCTATGCATGCACATTACATTACGTCTGAGAACATGTTTGGGCGTTTTGAGGAATGAGGTGAGAGTTATAGCCACGTAGCTCCTTTGTATATTCCTTTTGGAATTAAAAAATGTTATGCCATGTTAATTTTAGTTCAAGCACGCTTTAAGACCAACAGGCACACAAACTATCTTGTGGAACTGATTGTACAGGTGGAATTCAAACTGGTAAGATATAAATTCACTCTTTATTTCATGTCATCCTCGCAGTCACCACCATCATTGCTCATGCTCCCCCCTATTGTGTGTGTTATCATGGACATGGCACTGACTCTTCAGTGCCTCTGCCAGCACAGGTGTATAAATGGGTATTCAGAGACAGATCTAAGAATTCTTTTAAGGGGGGAGGGTGGCTGGTATCTTGGGGTTGTAGAATCAACAAGGCATGCCTTCAAAATTGGAACCTGATACCTCAATTGCCTCGATCGCGCTACATTTTCTCAACCTTCGTTGCCTTCGTGTTGTTTTCACGTGGGTATTCTTTTCATCTTTGCTGCTTTGGGAATTAGTTCATGATAAAATATTAAATTTGCATTCTCAAACCAAGGCTTGGTGGTGATTTTAGCCAGTCTGATGTCATCACGCATAAGGGTGATTAAAAACTGATACACCAAAAACACTACATGTACATGTAGCTGTGCCACAAAGTAAAAATTACGATGAGGTACAGTTGTACCAGTCCAGAGTGTTTGCCCTTACTTCTTCCGTAATATTAACATTATTGATTCATTTTTTTATTTTTTTGCTCCTCCTAAGAGCGGGTGGCTAGCCACCCAATAACCCCCCTCCCCCCTAAATCCACCCCTGCTACTGTCAAACTAACTTCTCGGGGGTAGCCCGTGATGGACCAGCATTCCATTCATGGGAGAATGTAGTGCATGTAACTACAGTACACGAATGCTATGTACAGAAAATAATGATATGTGTAACCTTCTGGCCTGATACATGTAGTGGCTGATCAAACATAGTCTTTATTTTACATTGTAATAATGTTTACCATACCAGGATAAACTTCAACTTCGACGCGTCTGTCCTCGTCACCAGTAAGCCACCGGTTACAAGGGAACATGTACTTCTCGTCACGTGATGGGATCTCTATCCTCAGTGACTCTAAATACCACTCTGGGTTAGGGCCGGAATTATCATGACTGAGACGAATCCTCTCAACCTGGAGAAGTTCAGAAAATAATATAAATACACTGTACATAGACACATATAAAATAATTGAAGTATACACTCCAGTCAAAATGTGTATTTATTTCCGCATGCACATCATAACGTCACACAAAGATCCAATAGGCTACACAAGTAACACCATCATAACTGGCATTATAATTGAATGGGCATGCTGTAAGGATTCCTCATCTCTCCTTTATATGAAAATATTGTGGAGGTAAAGCTTAGTATACATTGTACATGTAGAAGCAAAATTATGTACTAGGTTGTTTTAAAATCCATCGACAGAGGAACCCCAATATACCTGTAATGAGCCCAGGTGTATAACAACCCTGGTAAGATTAATGATATTCTTAAGCCCGGTACATGGTAAAATATAGGGGAAAAAACCTTTCTATAATGAACCCCCATTATCCCCCATTATGAAACTTTGCCTTAATGGGGTTCCACTGCATCACAAATATATAATAGCTAAAGTGGAAACTGACCTGGTTGCAGCTGTCTTAGACACAATAATATAATTTTGTCTTTAGTACGTTGAAAAGAAATTATTTTACTTAATCTGTAGGGAACAATCTTGGTTAGGAAAACCTGATCCGTCTGACCGCCATACAGGTACCATAGCACAGACAGTGCACACTAGTGATTGATGGAAAAGAAAAAGAACACTTGCTTCTCTAACTAAATACATCTTTTACTCACTTTGCCCACATCCATGGTCTGAACAGTAAACCTGTCTGTACGTCCACGATCAAACCTTTTCAGGGTTTTCCCAGATTCTTGCCGCAGCATGATCTTTTCAGTCTGGCCCTTGTCTCCAAATAACTGCAGAGTCACATTAGCATCTGTACCCGCATAAGGCATGTCACCAGTCTTAAATGTCAAGTTATAGGCAACATCTTCAAATGAAAAAGAAAAATGTACTGTTTAAAAACATACTTGAATAAATGCTCCATCATCTGTACAATCATTTAACATGACACTTTCCCTAACATAACAATAACAATGCGAAACAAATGGAATTTGGGGCATCGAAGAAAACACTGGAAATTTACATTAACTATAAAATGACAAAACGGCAGATTAGCTGTTAAAGAAACTTTTTTTTGAGAAAGTATGATATGCTCAATTGGTATTTCCAGAGAGATTGGAGGGGGGAGGAATTCAACCAGAAAACCTCCAAGTGGGGGTGGGAGGAATGACATTTTATGGAACATTACTTACAGATTTTACAAATTCTCTTTTGTAAAAATACATTTACATATTATGATATTATGGTACACCTGTATTAACAGTCATTGACTTTTTTCTGTTTACAATATTTGTTTGTTTATTTGCAGTGTCCTCAATTTGCACAGCACTGCTACATGCTCTGACTTTTATCAATGATTTGTTTAATACTGTATTCTATAAGAATTCACATACTGTACACATAATTATCGTTACACTGTACTTATCATATGACTGAGAAAATAACTTCATCATGATTGGCTAGAAATAAGGCAATTTATGTTAATTTTTAATTGCACTGTCATGAAAACGCACTTTCACATGTAATGTAGCTACTGTTCAGACACTGTATATGTTAACGCATAAATATTATTTCAACACGACGCATACTTTCAGGTCTTTTCACAGCTTTTCCAGGCAGCAATTCTCGCTCCGTTTTACTGTCCCACACATCCTCTGCCAGCCAGCACGCACATGGAAACATGACTGCTGGGTCGCCATCTGTTGGCACCACTCTGACACTGTCAACAAACAGTCCCTTGCCATAACCTCGACTGTCCTGACCCAGACGGATCTTCTCAATCTTCAAAAGAAAACATAACAAATTCCTAAGTTTGTTTACATTTCAAGTTCATCGTTAAAAGTACAAGCGTGTGTTACTACTACATTGCCCAGATTACATCCTCATCGTGTGCAATACAATGAACTCTATGATCGCATTTGACCTTGTCAGAATAAAGATAGTGAGAAGCATAACAGTGTCGCTGTGTGGGTGTTGACAAAATGGCAAACACTTCTGTGAAGAGGATTTAAATAAAGTTTTGAACGAGATTGAAGCAATTATCCTTATCAAAAATGAGATTGGGTCTCTCTTGATTTCTATGCGTAATAGTTGGCTCGGGCTGGGCCCTCATCAACTATTGCACATTAGTATAAATCTACTAGTGTTCTATCACAAATGCCATTCTCTGATTGGCTATGCTACTCACTATCTATTCTGTTGTAGATAGTGAGCAGCATAGCAGCATGCACTGGGGGCCACTTATTTGTGTTTTCAAAGTGTCTATGAAGAGGATTCAGATTAAAGTTTTGATTGACTACTTCATGTAAATTTCTACTAATAAAAACAATTACTAGTCAAAGATTAATCACTCTTGATTTCTATGTATGATAGCTGAATAGAAATCTTCAGCTCATAATCTAATTGTTAAACAGAAATCTTAAGCTCATTATTATTGCTCTTACCCTTCCTATATCGACAGTCAGGGCGAGGGTGAACTTATATGTTTTCTCTCTTTCCAGTGGTTCTTCTGGCCTCAGGAAAACCTTGCTTGTTTCACCTCTCCGGCCAATCAAGTAGATGTAAAGTGTTGCTTCAGGATTCAGTACCTCTCCAAGATGCACAGATACTGTGTGGGTTATGTCTGACTCTAAAAGGAACCAGGAGACAGTTTTTAAAGCAAACAATTCTAAGAAGCACAATAAAACAATACAAAAAGACATGTAAAGTACGTAAAAAATTATCATCGCCTAATAATTATACACTATACAAATGGTTCAGAGTCTTAAATCTCTGATCAGAGACAGGAAAATTGTACATATATTTATTTAACCATGATAAAGCTTTTTAGTACATGTAGTATGCAAAACATTAATCTCTGCTGATTTCAACATTTACATGTACATTACACGTATTTAAGTCATTTTTCAACCTTGATGCAACTTTGCATAGAGAAGGCATTATATGCTTGACATGAACTAACTTGAAACATTTTCAGAGCTTGGAAATGTTTAGTAATTGGTGACAAATCTTAAGCAGTTAGGGAAAGAAAATAGAAGAGCCCTGCACAATATCACTTACACTCATAATGGTTAATTATTTTAATATTATTAAACCACCTAATAATTAAGTAATAATTAATTTTAATATTAAAAAAGTAACTGCTACGATCTATTTATCAACAGCTACCTGAGGTATGGGGAGTCCTTGTTCCAGGATAAATTTCTCTTTCTAATTTGCCATCTCCAATGTCTTCTGCCAACCAACAGGAACAGGGAAAGTACAGAGGTTCTGCATCGTCAGGTGCAACTTCGATGTCATCCACAAAAATTCCCTTGCCACTCCCATGGCTGTCATGACCAACACGGATTCTCTCCACCTTACATTAAAAACACATCAAGAGGTTATTGAGTTTATTGTACCACACACATGTAGCTAATAGGTTTCAGTTAATACACATGTACTGTATGACATCTTTTTATAAATTTTGTCAAGTCAATCACCTGCAATGATTTCCGCCAAATTACATGATTGCACTTATTAATGAATTAACACAAATGACAGTGGAGACCCCATTAATTTGGTCACTAGTGTGCCACAAAAATCTGGCCGCATAAATGTGATGGCTGCATTGAAGTGGTTCTTTTAATTAGAAAATGACTGAGTGAGCTTTTATTCAAATCATACAATGTAAGAAGGTGGCTGTTTTAACAAAGTGGCTGTAAGGCGGGGTTCCACTGTGAGCTGTCAACTGCGAAAACCTGGTATTTTCATTTCCACAATCAGACAGACCAAGATTAGATCACGCTGGAAAATAATCCTCCAATAGTGTTGAGATTTAAAACTAATTGAAGGGGTGAGTACAAAACCATGCTAAATGATGATTCGGATGAAAAAAAAAATTTTCGCAAAAGGGCTTGAATTCTTGCATGTGGTCTTCAATGTAATAAAGAC